CTCGATCTCCTGACCTCAGGTGATCTGCCCGCCTCAGCTTCCCAAAGTGCTGGGATTACAGGCGTGAGCCACCGCGCCCAGCCAGGTATTGGTACTTTTTAAAAGCCCTCTTTGGGTGATTTTTAATGCAGCCAGGATTGACAGCCATGAACTTGGTTAAAAGAGAGAGTTGGGACTAGACCAAAGTAAGAGAAGGAGTAAGTCAGTGGGCAGTACACATCCGTGCACACCCCTCCTTCCACCAACACTCACACAATGCACTCTCTCTCTCTGTCTCTTTCCATAACTCTTTTCCTGCCCTGTGCTCTCTCCTTTTTCCCATCCGAGAAATGCCTGTAATTAAATGAATCATTGCCAAACCACACGGACAGCCCTTCATGTTGCCTTTCTTCCCAGGACCTGTCTGTAATTTGGAGAGCTTTAGGCTGGACATTTTGCTGCTTGCCCGAGATGTGGAGCCAGGACTTCGTCCATCTGCCCTCTGCTCTAGCATGATTGCTGTGCAGGGTGCAGAGGGGCTGAGGCAGTGGTCACGCTGATCCCCCTCTCTGGAGGGTCCCCTGTAGAGCGGATTCACTCACATCATGCTTCTCAACCTTGGCCACACATTGAAATAATCTGAGGAACTGAAAAATTCTGATAACTGCCCCACTCCCCCCCCCACCCCCAGAATTCTGGTTTAATTTGTATGGGAGTGGCCTGGATATGGAGATTTCAAATTTCTCCCAACTGATTCCAGTGTGCATCTAGCTTCGAGAACTACACATAAGAAGGTTTCTGGCTGTTCTTGTGTGACAGGATCACGGTGCCCAGGGGAGCTGACGAGCAGAGGAGAAGCGTCCCTTTCCAGATGCTTCTGCTGTTGGAGAAGATGCAGGACAGCCGGCAGAAAGCAGTGCGGCCCCTGGAGCTCGCCTACTGCCTGCAGAAGTACAATGTGCCCAGTAAGATGTTCTCCCACTGGGCTCCTGGCTGCTGATCCAAAGCGGGTGGGAAGCTTAGAGAGAGCGTGAAGAGAGGAACTAACAGGCAGTGAAGCAACCAGAAGCAAGTTAGGTAGCCTGGACCCCTCGGATTATAGAGACATTTGTGTAAGAGGCACACATCTTTGGAGGTGCAGAATTGATATTATTTATGGACATTTTACTTCCATACCTACCCTTTTTCTGCCTCTCAGTAGGGTAAACGAAGGCATCTCCTCCAAGCTTATTCTGCCACAGTTAGGGAACTGCAGGAAAACAAAATAAAGGAATAAAAAAGAGAAAACATGTTCTACAAAATAATTCATAAATAGGTTAGGGGTTTTTTTTTTTTAGATAGCTATATTGAAATGTGCATCACATACTGTAAAATTCATCCATTTAAAACCATGCAATTCAAAGGTTTGTAGTGTATTCACAGAGTTGTGCCTCCATCATCACAATCTAATTTCATAACATTTTCATCACCCCCAAAAGAAATCCCATACTTATGGGTTTTCCCTTGTGTATAACACATTGCTTTTCTCTTGCTGCTTTCAGAATTCTTTGCCTTTAACTTTTGAAATTGATTACGATGTGTCTTGGCGTGGGTTGCTTTAGATCAGTCTTATAATGGTGTCCTTTGGGCTTCCTGGATGTGGATTTCTATTTCCTTCCCTGGGTTGGGAAGTTTTCAGTCATTATAGCTATGGGTTGCTTAACAACAGAGAGATGTTCTGAAAATGCATCAGAAGGTGAATTTGTCATTGTGGGGACATCATGGAGTGGACTTACACAAACCTAGATGGGACAACCTACTACACACCTAGGCTGCTTGTCATGGCCACTGTGCTTATGTGGTCTGTCATTGACCGAAATGTCAATCTGCCACTTGGGACTGTTATTTCTTTGGATAAGCTTTCTGTCTCCTCTCACTCTCCTCCTTCTGAGACTCTGATAATGCCTATTTTGGTCTGTTTGATGTCCCGTAATTCTCTTAAGAGATCTTCCCTTTTTTGGGCCGGGCGCTGTGACTCATGTCTGTAATCCCAGCACTTTGGGAGGCCAAGGTGGGCAGATCACGAGGTCAGGAGATCGAGACCATACTGGCTAACATGGTGAAACCTCATCTCTACTAAAAATATAAAACATTAGCCGGGCGAGGTGGCGGGCGCCTGTAGTCCCAGTACTCTGGAGGCTGAGGCAGGAGAATGGCGTGAACTCAGGAGGCGGAGCTTGCAGTGAGCTGAGATCATGCCACTGCACTCCAGCCTGGGCGACACAGCAAGACTCCTGCTCAGAAAAAAAGATATCTTCACTCTTTTCCATTCTTTTTCATTTTTGCTCCTGCGAATGATTTCCAGTGACCTACCTTCTAGTTTGCGAATCCTTTCTTCTGCTTGATGTCATCTGTTGAGCTTCTCTACTGAACTCTTATTTGAGTTATTGTATTCTTCAGCTCTGTTATTTCTTTTGAACTTTTTTCTGTCTCTTTGCGGAAATTCTTCGTTCATGCATTGCTGTCCTAGACGTGGTAAGTATCTTCGTGGTGATTATTTTGAATTGTCTATAAGGTAAGTCACTTATCTTCATTTCACTGAGGGCATTTTCTGGAGATTTATCTTATTCTTTTGCTTGGAACATATTTCTCTGTTTCTTCATTGTTCCTGATTCTCTGTTATTTTCTGTACTTTAGATAAGAAAAATGCCTCTCCCAGTCTTGTCTCACTGGCCTTGTAGAAGAGACGAACTTACCAATTAACGCTGCCAGACACTCGGAGCGCCTCTTGACCCTTTGTGCTTGTCCAAACTGTCATCTGTGTTCTTAGCTGCCCTCAGGAGATTAGAATGTGTCAAGTCCTGTCAGTGCCCCAGACAGGGGAGATAGAAGCCGGCCCCTTGAGGTGCAGCTGGAGACGTTGGGGCATTAAATGTGTGTTCCAGTTTATTCTATCCTCAAGGAAAAGCTGGGAGCATGTGTTTATCCCCCACTTGCTCTGCAAAAAACTGGACAGAGGATCTGTGGCAAGTGCCTGCACTCATGTTTAAACTGCACACTCCTGCATGCATTGTTTTGCTCTTTGTCACCCCCAGGGGCCTAGCGAATGCTGGCTCCTCTCTGCTTAGAGATGGACAGGTTGGAAGCTTGACGCTATCTGTCGAACAAACGAGTGGGAGCCGCGGTGGAAGTGCTCACCTGCGTGAGCAGTGAGCAGGGTCTCACAGTGTTCAGGGTCTCAGAGGAGCACTGGTGTCCTGCTCTGTCAGCTCCCAGATGCATGGAAACCCCAGGGCAGCGGCTGCACATGTGCAGACGGATTCCTTCTAGGGAGAAAGTGGGAGCCGGGCCTTTTTGCCTGTTCACCCTGCACTGGGCCTGGGGGGATGTTTTTTGGTCTCTGTGCCCCCGTGGGACCCACAAATACAGAGCCTCGTCAGCTCCCAAAGCTCAGGGATTGAGGAGCTAGTCCTTCATTTGAGAGGGATAGATGTTGTGTACTCAGTGTGTGAAGTTAAAGACCTGATTTTATCATGGAGCAGGGGGTGGGAGAAGGCGTGGGACTTGCCCACACACCTGTGCAGACTCCTGGAAATCTGTTTATCTGCCTCATTGGCTCCAGGTGCAGGCTAGTTATTACTAGATGCCCATCCCTCGGGCAACAGCTAGGAGAGCCCGCAGACATACCCTTCCAGGGAGAAACTGGGAGCCTGGCATTTCTGCCTGTTTGTGCTGAGCGCAGGAGCACAGCTGCCGGAGGTGCTCACGTGCCCATTTAAAACTGCCTCTTTGCCCTCTGCCGTCGCAGGGAATTCATAGCTGCTGACCCATGTCTGTTCCCAGAGCTAGGTGAGCTAGCAGCCAAGCCCTTGAATGGGAACTGCAAAAGCTGGGGCTGCCTACGTGTGGTCCAAACCCTCGCCTCTCCAGGAGAAAGCTGGGCGCAGGGATTCCTTTCCGACAGTAAGGTACTGTGTCTAGAGTGGGGCTTGTGGTGCGAGTGTGTCTCAGCTTTTCCAACCCATTGCGATGTGGATGTTTTCTCCATTGTCCCCTGTGCAGGCCTGTCTCAGCTGGTATCTGGGTTTCTTTCTGAGTTGATCTGTGTGTAGATGGGAGTTTTTCCATGTGTCCACGGGAGAAGGGAGCACCAGGAGCCTCCTTCTCTACCATCTCGCTTGTGTCACCCTCTGTGATTCTTTTTATACATAGTTGAATTTGATTCACTAATATTTTGTTGAGGAATTTTGCATTTATGTTCACGAGAGATGCTGGTTTCTAGGTTTTTTCTGGTAACGTCTGTCTGGTTTTGGTATTAGGATAATGCTGGCCTCAGAGAATGAGTTAGGAAGTGTGCTCTCTGCTTTTGTCTTCTGGAAGAGGTTCTAGGGAACTGGTATAATTTTTCCCATAAATGTTTGGAAGAACCCATCGTTCACTAGTGAACCCGTCTGGGTGCAACTGAGTGCTCCCATTCGCTAAGAGATAGTTCCATTAGTTTTCTTATGATTTTCTTTTCACTTCTCCTCTTCCCATCCCTCACCCCTCACCATGGCCAGTGTTTCCTGTTTCCTGTTAGCTCTTTAGAAATGCAAATATCACCTTTCGACTACCCGTCTCCAGACATTCCCTGATGGGCAAAAGGAAGAATCTGTAAATGGAGGTAGGCTGATGGAGGTTTGACTGAGAACAGGGCAAGTTCTTCCAGCTCATCTTTCCTGAGACTTGGCAGTAGATTTGCAGCCCCAAGCATACCCACCAGGGAACCCTCCCTGCCAGGGGTGGCCTCGAAACTTCCACCTTCTAGGGGTTTGTCTTTCGCCCACTAGGAAGGCATGGAGAAAGCATGCCCACTTGGCCACTTTTACAATTTACTTCTGCCCAGGAAGGTGCCAGCTCAGCTGGGTACATGATAACTGCCCGGTAGAAAACCGCCATTGCTCAACCCCCCACCCCCACAACACACCTGATGAAAATGCCCCTTTTTCCTCCAAAGGAGAAATGGCACATTAAAAGGCAGGCTGTGTCGTGCTCCTTCCTCCAAGCTGGCTTCAGAATAAATTCACGTTTGTGTATGAAGCTTTCTTTTGTATCACATTTTTTTTTGTATCAGAGTTAGTTGAACAGCACATGCGGTGAGCAGCTAACCAGCTTTTCGGCTGCAGAGGCACTATGTTC